CAGATTGCGAGTCGAGCGCCCTAACCACCTGGCCATGCCGGGCCAAAAATTCACTGGAAGAAATTTCAAACTATGTATATATATATTAAAGTACCTCAAAACTTGTCTGTAGTATTTCTTGATTCTACCCTTCCTCCCTTTCATAAATAAATAAACAAAGTTTCTAAGTCTTCTTATTTATAATATAGTTGATTTCATTAATACGTGTTTGTTGTTAAGCACAAAACTACACAATGGGCTATCTGATCTCGGATATCGAAACCCGATTTATAGCGCTATAAGACCAATGACTTACCGCTTAGCCACTCGGGGAGGGGGGGGTACAAGTGTGGCTTGATTGCTCTAAGAAAATATGTTTAGGACGTTCGCGCAAAGCTACACGAGGGATATCTGCGCATGGCTGTCCCTAATATCGAACTGAAAAAAAGTGGAAACGTCAGCCACTCAACAACACCCACCGCCAACCATCATTATTGTAGCGCACCCACGGCCTCAAAGTGCAGAGCGTGTTTTAGATGCAACGGGTCATAAACCAGGAACTTTCGGATTTACAGTCCTACACGCTAACCTCTAGGTCACTTTCAGCCCTAATTTTGGTATTATAGTATTATATTTTTCCATTATTTTATTCTGTTTTATATTTTTAGTTTCATTCATTTTAAGTAAACATTTAACTATCAAAACTTTGTTTGACATCTCCAGTAAACTTTGAAGATCCACGAAAGTAGACTTTACGGAATTCTAGTGATGCATTTATAAAATAAACTAACTATAAAAATCCTAATTTGTTTTGTTTTTTTCAGTGAATACGAACATTAGCCAGAAGATCAAAACGACATGAAGGGAAATACCTACCTGCAACAATATTTCAATTTTTAATGTGTTTTTTTTAAAAGAAAGTAACTTTTACGCTCAACAGGATCTAAACTCCTTTCAGTCATAAAGTTAGAAATGATTATCAAAACTCAAGAATAAGGTTGCAAGACAAGTGAATATACAATATTTATTTACGGAAACGTCTCTTCTGTATCGAAACGTGAGTTGATTCGATAATCAACACATTCAAATAAGCCCCGTAAGACTGTTACAGAATCATCTACTAGTCGATCGATTAAACAACAACAACAATTACCTGATATTTGACAACTACTTGAAACGCTGCTCGGTAATACGAAATGTGGAGTTTCAACAACTACGGGATTCATTATTGTTTATATAAATGGTACCTTCTGTTATTTGTCGTCCCGTGCTTTCTAAACCAATCAACCTACGGTCAAGGTAAGTATTTTCGTTCTTTATCTCTTTTTGTTTAAGTCTTAAAAAAAAACCAGTCCATATTTGTTTTTGTTGACTGCTTCTTACACCACTTTATTGTGATTGTGCTATACTCGTATTTCGCTTTTTCATCAACGTTATTTAGATTTACTCTTATCAGGAATTGACGCATACTAATACATATAACAAAGTGCTAATTATTACTATAATTAACAACGCTAATACATATAACAAAGTGCTGTTTATCACTATAATTAACAACGCTAATACATATAACAAAGTGCTGTTTATTACTATAATTAACAACGCTAATATATATAACAAAGTGCTGTTTATTACTATAATTAACAACGCTAATACATATAACAAAGTGCTGTTTATTACTATAATTAATAACACTAATATATATAACAAAGTGCTGTTTATTACTATAATTAACAACGCTAATACATATAACAAAGTGCTGTTTATTACTATAATTAACAACGCTAATACATATAACAAAGTGCTGTTTATTACTATAATTAACAACGCGTAGATTTAGAACTAGGTCTTGATCCTTAATGACAACATTCCCTTCTTCCTTAGTCTCACTCTTGGTTTATTTCGTTCTCAAAAACCACATCCAACACGCCACATTTTCCATTATATCGGATTATAACGTGTCCTAATCATAGGGGGTTCCGTAATCTCCACAGTAGCTGAACAAGAAAGGTGACCGATCAGTCCAATAATTTCCTTGCGACTTAGAGTACAATAATACTCTAATCACTTATAGACTGACCAAAAGCCGGCCACCTCTCTCAACCCAATGTTCCTTGCATCTAACTTTATAACACTGATGCTCTTTAGTTTTACCGGTATGCACAGTTTATCTGACTAGTCAATAAGCATCATAAGAAACCAAAACCGAGTAAACAAAAGTTCTATCAGTGAAAATCCAAGTAAAAAAATATACACTACATTACTGGAAATGTGGACAGATTTAACTATGTAAATGTGTTACTAATTATATATCACCGCATTCCCTTTGATACAATGACGTCATTACTGCATACCGATGATAAAAAAGTAGTGAAAGCTGTGAGATATTTAAGCCTTATGATTTATTAGTGTCACGTGGTCATTAATTTTATGCTTCATACTCCTAACTCTCTAGAACAGAATGAAAATAGAACCAAGTCACCGGGTGTGTGTGTAACACAGAAACAAGACCCACATGTTAAGCTGTGTTCCACTGTACAAAGTTCTACTATTCTCGTTTTTTATGACACTCTAATCCACGCAGTACTGATTCAGATTTAGTGTATGAGGTCCAACACGACAAGTGCAAAGTGTGATCTCGTCAAATAACACAATTTATTAGTATTTAAATAGGTGAGTGCGTTTCGTTTATACATTTCGTGTTGAGTATTCTTTTTGCTGTCACTGTAACTAGGGTTTAAAAATGTAAAATGATACATTTCTTCAGTTAGTCACATATAAATTTCTGGATGTGAAACTGGTATCCGACATTTTGTGACAAGCGAATATTTTACTTGTGATTTACCTTGGTTTCGGACATGTAAGTTGGAATTTTGGGCGAAGTGGAAAATGTACACGTGGTAATACTTCCCATAAATTATAAAATAAAATTTTTGTAACAAATGTAGTCACGTGATAACATACGGTCAAGAGTTTCTTCCTTCCCCGCCCCTCGTCCCCTCACGTGGAGTTAGGAAGATTGTTTATTATTATTAGCGGTGGTACAAAACAGGCTTCGGTTCATCTATCTCCAACTATATAGTAAATATTCCTGTGTACTTTCCACAAGCATGACTTAGTGCGGGGTTTAGTTCATGAGCTTCCGTGGCTAGCAACACTATAAACAGCGGCTACCAGCTATTACTATAGTTTATCAACAAAAAAAAGGAGCTTACTGCGGCTGTTCTTGCACGTGCCTTTAGAATTTCACTTGTGAATGTCTAAGATTAAACAAGTACACGTGGTAGACACGTGGATTATATCACCCGACAGTTTACAAATGAGCGTCACTGGCTGGTCAGCTTTGTTCGTTGTCCGAGTAACAAGAGATGTTTTGGACACGTGAGTGAAGCATAAAGTTTACCACAAAAAACTGTAGTTACATTTCCAAACGAGATTTCTGGTGTCACTATGTACTTACCAAGGATTTCACTATGCACTTACCTAGGATGTAATTATGTACTTACCTAAGATGTCATTATATACTTATTAAGGATGTCACTATGTACTTACCTAAGATGTCATTATATACTTATTAAGGATGTCACTATGTACTTACCAAGGATGTCACAATGTACTTATTAAGGATGTCACTATGTACTTACCACGGATGTAACTATATACTTACCAAGGATGTAACTATGTACTTATTAAGGATGTCACTATGTACTTACCAAGGATGTAACTATGTATTTACCAAGGATGTCATTATGTACTTATTAAGGATGTCACTATGTACTTACCAAGGATGTCACTATGTACTTAACAACGATGTAACTATGTTCTTACCTAGGATGTCACAATGTACTTACTAAGGATGTCACAATGTACATACCAAGGATGTCACAATGTACTTACCAAGGATGTCACAATGTACATACCAAGGATGTCACAATGTACTTACCAAGGATGTTACAATGTACTTACCACGAATGTCACAATGGGCTTACTAAGGATGTCACAATGTACATACCAAGGATGTCACAATGTACATACCAAGGATGTCACAATGTACTTACCAAGGATGTTACAATGTACTTACCAAGGATGTCACAATGTACTCACCAAGGATGTCACAATGTACATACCAAGGATGTCACAATGTACTTACCAAGGATGTCACAATGTACTCACGAAGGATGTCACAATTTACTTACTACGGATTTCGCAATGTACTTCTGTTTGACACTTTGTTTTTCAGATGTTTCTATCGTGGAGTGCACATAATTATTTCGCGTTTTCTAAACTGTTCTACCAAGCCTGTTCCAGTGTAACAGGCCTTATTCGTTTAGAGTAATTCCACATTATAGTTATTTACTGCTTCAGGCTATCGCAAACACTCACTATTAATGATGCACGTCACATAATTACGTAGAAATGTGCAAAAAGGAGAGTTTGTGTAAGTTTAAAAGTCATTTAGTAGCGTTCTCAAACCTACAGCAAAGAACAGTTTTCTGCTTTCACTGTGATGTCAAGTGCATCATTTCTTTGAATACATTTTTATCAAGGATTTGATTTTTATTGTATTAACGATTAGGGGTTCTTATTACGTTAACAGTTAGAAGGTCTTATTACGTTAACGATTAGATGCTCTTAGTACGCTAACAATTAGAGGCTCTTATTACGTTAACAATTAGAGCTCTTAGTACGCTAACAATTAGAAGCTCTTATTACGTTAACAATTAGAAGCTCTTATTACGTTAACAATTAGAAGCTCTTAGTACGCTAACAATTAGAAGCTCTTATTACGTTAACAATTAGAAGCTCTTATTACGCTAACAATTAGAGGCTCTTATGACGTTAACAATAAGAGGCTCTTAGTACGTCAACAATTAGAGGATCTTATTACGTTAACAATAAGAGGCTCTTATTACGTTAACAATTAGAGGCTCTTATTACGTTAACAATAAGAGGCTCTCATTACGTTAACAATTAGAGGCTCTTATTACGTTAACAATTAGAAGTTCTTATTAAGTTAACAATTAGAAGCTCTTATTACGTTAATAATAATAAGTTCTTATTAAGTTAACAATTAGAAGCTCTTATTACGTTAATAATAAGAAGTTCTTATTAAGTTAACAATTAGAAGCTCTTATTACGTTAATAATAAGAAGTTCTTATTAAGTT